AGAAGCAACCATGTGACTGGTTAGTCAGCTGCAGGGTAAACAGGCCCCTGAGAGAGAAATGGAAAGTGAAACTTAGGGACAGGAGAGAGGTGTTAGGTATCAGATCCAAAAGAAACTGGGACAGATAGCTAACTGTGATAGTAATTAGCATAGCAAAGTGTCTGCTGGCCTTTACCTCACTCAATATCTGTGGCTCCAACCATATTCCAAGGTGTGGTTGAGGGGAAGGTTTTATTGTAGATATGATGGAGAGAACAGTCAGGGGCATCTGGAAGATCCATGGCTGGGAGAGGAAGTAGTAGACATTCAGTCCCAGAGACTGAACCAGGCCATGCCAGGAGTTTGGGGGAGGGGAAAGTAAGAGATGAAGAGAAGAGAAGAGAAGAGAAGAGAAGAGAAGGGAAGAGAGAGAGGGAGAGAAGGGAGAGAGCGAGTATAAAGTAAGTCACATGGTTGGATAAGCAATTTATTAGTAAAGCAACAATATTTACTAAGGTTAAAAAGAGTACTTGCCATGTAACTTCATCACCGACTTGATTGAGATGACCAACTACTATAAACCAACTAAGACAACACTCGTAAAACTTCTTAGTCCTACTGAGCCCTCAAATTATTGTTGTATATTCCTTTTAAACTAAGAAGGCAACAGCAAGTACCCAAAATATTTTGGATTAGGATGGAATCTTGGAGTTACTATTGTGGTGACAAAACACCATCAGCTTTTTTTTTTCAAATATTGCAGTTTTCAATATTTGCTTCCACATCCTCTCTGGTTTAGTTCATTTAGTTTATGTTTCAGGGTGCAACTCTTTTTATTTTAAATTTTCTTTCATTTTACATACCAACCACAGTTCCCCGTTCCTCCGCTCATCCTGCTCTGCCCACATCCCTTCATCCCACCCCATCCACTCCTCAGAGAGGGTAAGACCTCCCAAGGGGAGTCAACAAACCCTGGCAAATCTAGTTGAGGCAGGACCAAACTCCTCCCTACTGCATCAAGGCTGAGCAAGGTAATCTCCCCAAAGCCAGCTCTTGAACCAGGGATAAATCCTAGTCCCACTGCCAGGGGCTCAACAAACAGACCAAACAACACAAATGTCATCCACTTTCAGAGGGCCTAGTTTGAGCCAATGTAGGCTTCTCAGCTGTCAGTCCAGAGTTCATGAGCTACTCGCTTGGGTCAGCTCTCTCTGTGGGTTTCACCTTCATGATCTTGATCCCCACTTGCTCATATAATCCCTTCTCCTCCTCATTGATTGGACTCCAGGAGCTCAGTCCAGTTCTTGGCTGTGGATCTCTGCATCTGCTTCTGTCAGTTACTTGTTGAAGATTCTGTGATCCCCTCTGGTTTAAGTTCATTTAGTATATAGCTAATAAAGCTTATGTTTCATGGTGCAAAGTTTTTATTTTAAAGTATGTATCCTGACCTCAGTTTCCCCTTTATCCACTCCTCCTAGCCCCTATCCCCCACATCCCCAATCTCCCAGATCCACTCCTCTTCTGTTTCCCTTCAGATATCAACCCAAACATGGGTATCAACCAAACATGGCATAACAAATTACAATAAGACTAGACACACCCCTTCATATCAAGACTGGGCAAGGAAACTTAGTAGGAGGAAAAGGGCCCAAAGAGAGGCAAAAGAGTCAGAGACACCTCCTACTTCTACTGTTAGGAGTCCAGCAAGAACATCAAGCTACCCAACCATAATGTATATGTAGAGGACCTAGCTCAGATCCATAGAAGCTCCTTGATGTGGCTTCAGTTTCTGTGAGTCCCTCTGAGCCCTGCTTACTTGATATTTTGGGAGATGTTCTTGTAGTGTCTTTGACCACTCTGTGTCCTACAATCTTTCCTCCCCTCTTCCATGGCGTTTCTCCATTTGCTTCCATCAGTTACTGGATGAGTGGTCACAAGTTGCATGTTTTTCTTACAGGCCCACAAGTAGTTACACATTTTCCTTTGCATTAATTTTCTCACCATAACATCTTCACCCCCAAAGCAAGGATTATTTTATTATTGATTAACAAAGTTTTAACCAAGCCAAGTATATTTCAGCCGGTTCTTCTGTACTGGAAAACAACTGTTTTCAGTTTCAGCATAGCAAATTTCTTAAATAACTTAAATTTAAATTTCTTAAAACCTCAAATAAGTGGTCTAGTTAACCATCTAATTTTCTTTTTTTCTTTACACACAGTAGGATCATTCAATTTCCTTTCACAAACCTTGTTTTTCAAGGTACCTGTGATTAATTCTGTATGCTACATGACCAAAGACCTCAGACCTAACAATGGGTATAGGTCCATAATTTTTTTGATCATCATCCTGTTTTTCAACAGGCAGAATTCATGGGTCTGTAATGCACGAAAGTCCCTTGTTATTGTTTTCTATCCTCAGCAAGTCTCACATTTAGTAAATTGGAATGTGATGTTTTTGCCCCCCCCCCCTTTTTGGTATCTTTTATTGAAGCAATTGGCAGAGTAACCTAAACCATTTCCTGAATCATCTTTACTAACTGTCCTAACCACCAGTATCTTTAATCATTGATCCAACTAAGCATTTTTTTAAATAATAAAAAAGATAAAAAAATCATCTTCATTATTATCTGCAAATAAATTGTCCAATAAAGAGTAGGATTTTCCCATGAAACAATCACATTATACTAAGCACAGTGGGATTCTTTCACATAGTAATAACCCCATGCCAAATACTGTAAGAACATGACAGCGACAAACAGGAGACGGTACAGAAGTGAGGAGTATTTTGGAAACAACCGCTATGGGACTTTGCTTCTCTGGGGTGCACTCATCATAGCTGTGCTATCTGGTGGGTTGTGCTTCATAAGCTCCACTGCAGACTGCAGCTCCTCTGACATGGCCTTGCTACCTAAAGTCTCCAAAGAAGACAATGGGGGCACAGACAACTCCACCTGGATTGTGGAACTACCCAATGCTGTACCCTCTACCAGGGTCCTGCCCAAACTCTTGACACAGTTCTGTTGACTTCCCTACTCTTCCTTGCTAAGGTTTTCTTAAGCTTTTCCTCCATGGAAAAAAATCTCTCAGACCTTCTTAGTTTGGTAGCTGTAGGTTAATGCTGTCACAAGTGACAGCTGAAGACCAACAAACTTTCCCCTCAAAAGATTACAACAGGTAAGTCTGGGGTAACCAAAGAAGTATGTCTGTCATTTTAATTGATACAGAGGACATTTGGATTATACTTCCTTTTAATTTATCCTTCTCAGATCTCTGATGATGTTGATGGCTAACAGCATCTTTATCAATTTTATAGCAGCAAGCACCCAACTCCTCCCACAAGGCTTCAGCTTCCTGGTCAGATCATTTCATAAGGAAAAATCTGGCAGAGAGTTACCTTGCTGGTAGAGTTCCCTCTAAAAGAGATAAACTCACAAAATAAGTTTCAGCATAACTTAACTATTCCTTTATTTGAAGGAATTTGCTTTACAATGGCTGTTCTCATAATCAATTACTTGTGTCTAATGGTAAATGATTGAATGGAAAAGGAAAATGGTTGAAGTTTATGCAAGTTGTAAGGCTTGAAGAAAGTAATTCATGGTATGTGAATACAAGTTATAAATGTTTGAAGAAGTGGTTTATGGTAAATAAAACTTGAGAAAAGTTTCGAATTTCTTTTTCTCTCACTATGTTATTATTGCATTAATACTTCAAAAGTTCAGTTACAATATTATCAATTCTAATGTGCCAATTACTAATATCATATCACAAGTTCAAAAATTTGAATTTCCTTTGGTTGTCTTCTAAGTATAGATGTAAAAGTGCTTCTCTAAATAAGTATTTCTGTCATTAACAACCTAAGCTTCCCTGCCTAGTGTCTATTCTTGAGGATGGGGTCTCTCTCTCTTTCCCTCCCTCCCTCCCTCCCTCCCTCCCTCCCTCCTTCCCTTCCTCTCTTTTCTTCCCATAGTCACAGGCCTCGAAGTTTCAAGTATTCACTCAAGATAAAAATGTTTTCTTCTGGTGACCTTCCTTTACTTTACCCTCTATCCATAGTCTATACTTATCCTGGCAAATTTCAAGCCAATTGAAGGCTGCAAACTTTTGTAAATCAGAACCAGTGAGCCTTGGACTTACTGGAAGTACTAGATGCTTCTGAGGGAATTTTCAACCAGTCTGTACCCGTGCATCCCATACTGCTCCAAAGCACCCTGCACTTTTCTAGCCTCAGGCTGTACTGCAGATCCTGGGTAGAGAGCTAGCAAACAGCAAACTAGATGTTTCTTGTCATTGCCTGACTCCCTCCTTTCCTGGTCTTTGACTGGTGTTCCAGACTCCTGGGCCCTGACAATGACATCCTAATTTCAGTAGGAAGCAGTTACAGAAGGGATACACTTCCCCTTTTCAGAAGGAATTGTAGAAATACTACTAGTGTCTGCTGGCATCAGGCAACCAAGTGGTATACAGGCAAACATTCAGGAAAAACACTCAAACATTCAGAATTAAAATTAAAAACAAAAAAATTAGTTAAATGAATACAGAAACATATATATCTTATATATATATACATACATATATATAATAGATGATAGATGGAGAGATAATACATAGAAGATAGAAGATAGATTATAGATAGATAGATAGATAGATAGATAGATGATGAGGATTTCACTAAAAGATATTCTACTTTCTGCTTATAACTTAAACTGTTCAACGAGAAAACTCAAAGAAAAATTTTATTTGTTTTACTGTAAGATGCCTAAATATGTTTGGTCATCAGAATTCTTTAATGCAGACAAAATATTTCCATTAAATTATTTAGCTTTTGACTACTTTTGAAGAAGTATACTATGACATTATGAAATTATACAAGTATTCATTTCATTTCTTTCCCTGGTGCACAGCTTGGAGTATGGTGAATCTTAACATTCTGAAGGCAGACAAACTGGTGCTCTCTCAGCTGAAAACCTAGAATTCTCATTAATCCCTCGTCTTTTCCTCTGCAGTCAAGAAACCCCAGTGAACATGGCATCAGAAGCACCTGTGTGTCTCATTGAAAATGCGGAAGGACAACTGAGGCCAAATCAGCAGGCCCTTGAAATCCTATCGGCCATCACACAGCCTGTGGTGGTGGTGGCCATCGTGGGTTTCTACCGCACAGGGAAATCCTACCTGATGAACAAGCTGGCTGGGAGGAACACAGGTGAGTGCCTCCAACACAGCTGTGCTGGGGCCCCTGGGTCTACCCACACTGTCTTATTGCAGCATAGGGTATTAGAACAGAAAGTTCAAGGCAAAGATAAATACTGAAAGGTAATTGTTAATCCATAGGGGAGGCAAGCGAGAAATTATGCTTAAGATTAATTTATCTTAAAGAGCTTTATGTGCTGGCTATATCTGAAAATCCAGATCAGTTTTGTGCACTTTACTATAATCAGAAAAAGAAGAGTCAGGTGTTGTTTCCTCAATTTATCTTAATTTCGTGTTTAAAAAGTGTAATGTTCTTGCTGCTTAGTAGAATAAGCCAGTAGATAATACAGACTATTACTATACATGCATTTCAATGTCACAAAAATAGTAAGATATTCATGTGTCAACAGTAAGCAATCACCATCTGTGGAGGAAACACAAAAACTTTCAATGTAAATGGAATATTCCATTTTCACTTTTTCTTAACTTTTTTTCTTTTTAGTGATTAATATTTTTATGCATTTTTTTTACAACTTTACCTGTTTACACCAACTCTGGCCATGATGTCACTTTTTTTTAAAACCTTGATTGACATTAACTCTTGTTTCTATTTCCAGAAGCACCAGCTAGGAAATCTCTACCCTTGTCCCTCCTTTGCCCTTTGCAGGCTTCTCTATGGGCTCCACGATACAGTCTCACACCAAGGGGATCTGGATGTGGTGTGTGCCTCATCCCCAGAAGCCAGGCCACACCTTAGTTCTGCTTGACACAGAAGGCCTGGGAGATGTGGAAAAAGTAAGGAAGAGGAACAGTAAATTGGATTAAGCTCCTTAACTCTCATTGGCCTCTGGAGTACCTAGATTTTCCTTATATGAGAACTCCCTCTTAATCACAATGTATCTTTTCATTCTGTTTACTGGTGAGAAGTTTGATAACTAATGTGGAAGAAGATATTCAGATGTGGGACAGGACTGTCATCATTAAGGGAGCTAATCCAGTTAATGCAGATATGTAAAGATGCTGTGAGTGTTTCCCCACAGAGAATGCTGGTTAAGGATAACTGAGGTTCTGAAGTACCAAGACTTTATTTTCAGCAAATAGTTTGCCCCTTACAAATTCTGTGGTTTCAGCCATGCGTATGAGTTATGTATACCTTCCACTTTTGAGTAAAATGATTGTGATAGGTCTCTATCACAATTACAGCACTGTTCATTTAGTAAGACTAGCAATATTTAGTAATATAGTGAAGTCGGTAGTAAGGTTGCCATGCACTGCTAAATAACCCTGTAGGTTATTATATAGGATTACAAATGAGCCTAATTAAGCAGTGAAAAACACACATTCATGTACCCCATCAAATAAAGAGGGCTAATCAGGAAGAGGAAGGTTGGTGAGATAGGGACAAGAGAGGGTAAGGGGGACAAGTAGGTTCCAAACCTATTTGTGGATGAAAAAATGAGTTAAATTTAAAGGCTTAAATATGTAATAATTTCTCAGAACTTTAAGATTATTACTCTTACATGGGGCAGTTAAACCTTATGTGAAGGGAAGCTTTTAAGATTCTGTGAGATTTTGAAATCCTCACCACTCTGGACTGTTAATCAAAACTATTCACTATGGACAGAAAAGGCCTATTAAGCTGGCAAAATATGAGTGAGTTCTACCAGTGACCCTGAGTAGAAACGACACATCCTCTGAGTTCTACTAACAGGAACATAGCTTCATAGTTTGCTTTTTTCTTACAGTTCATAGCACTAGTTCACTCTAAAAAAAAAATCAAACAAACAAAAACAAGAATCAAAAAACATTTTGGATCACTTCATCTAGAAAGGAATGTTCTGACTTACAGGGCGACAACCAGAATGACTGCTGGATCTTTGCCCTGGCTGTACTTCTAAGCAGCACCTTTGTGTACAACAGCATGGGAGCCATCAACCAGCAGGCTATGGACCAGCTGCAGTATCCTTTCTGTGATGGAGAACATCCCAGCCTGGGAATGCTGTAAAGCCAGTGTTGACAGATAGGAGACAGAATAATCCTAGCACAAGCGGAAATCTCATATACCAACTAATGAGTTCACGCTTGAGTCAGAATATGGTATATGGCAAAAGCATGCGTGGGGATGGATGAGACCAGTGTGAGGTAAGAAGACTGGGGACCCTGCTCATTCATCACTTCTCCTTAGCCACCCCCAGCTATGTGACTGAGCTGACAGATAGGATCAGATCAAGGGCCTCACCTGACCAGGAGGATGAGGTGGAAGACTCAGCTGAGTTTGTGAGCTTCTTCCCTGACTTCATGTGGGTTCTGAGGGATATGACCCTAAGACTTGAGGCAGATGGACAAAGCCTCACAGCAGATGAGTACCTGGAGAATTCCCTGAAGCTCAAGCAAGGTACAGAGAACGGTGATTGGAGAACAGAGGGGAAAAGTTCCGTGAATTTGCATTTTATGCAGGTTCTTAGATTTGACTTTCTCTTGGATTTTTAGGCTGTTTGTGAAGTGATTTGATTCCTGTTTAGTATCTGTCTCAATATGTCAACTTTGATTGAAATGTTCCCTAGTAATGGAGACACATTCACCCTGTACTGTGATTGGAATGTTTTAATCTCCCTTTTAGGTTCTGTAGAGATGTACACCGCCAAAAACATAGAGCAGAGAGAACATCTATTAGGAAATATTCATAAGTTACACATTTACACCCTGCTAGCTGTGTGACTATATTTTCTTTACTTTCTCCAGGAACCAGCGAAGAAGATAAAAATTACTACCTGCCCCGATTCTGTATTCGAAAGTTCTTCCCCAGGAGGAAATGCTTTGTTTTCTGTCCACCCACTGATTGGAGGAGGCTTTCTGAGCTTGAGAGCCTACACAATGATGAGCTGGATTCTGACTTTGTGCAGCAGGTGGCAGAGTTCTGTTCCTTCGTCTTCAGCTCTTCCAAGGCTAAAGCTCTCCCAGGAGGCGCTGAGGTCAATGGAGCTCGTGAGTCTCCTGTCAGTCCTTCTTGATAGCTTTAGAGAGTACACATTTGGGAAATGATATAACATCTACCTAACTCGAGTTTTAACAATTTTTTTTTCAAATTCCAGATGATCTCAGAGTGTACTTAATGCCTTTGTAAGTTAGATCTCTGGCTGGAACATTTATACTGATAGGGAAAGAGAGATTTTTACCTTCAATATTTCTATGCTTACTTGTAGTAAGTATTGGGTGTTTAAACTATCCAATTGGATATCAAAAGACATGCATGTCTACTTAGCTTAAATTTCATTTAATTAAAATAGATTTAAAAATTCAGATCATGTGCCCACTTTGAATGTTCAGTAACTATCTAAGACTGTGCCAATAATAAAGGGAATCCTAGACATAAAATAGATTCTCCAATCCCAGGCTCTGTTTGACAATGCTGAGCTTAATCAAACCAAATAACACCCTTCATTTGACTCAGATTGCAACAGCTCACACAATGACTGAACCCTACCAGAAACAATGTTCAAAAAAAAATGAATGATACACACATTAATGATGAGAGAATGATCTTCTTTTAAGGGTCCTAAGTCTAACTGGATATATATTCAATAAACCCAGGCATATTTTATATTAAGGAGGGATTTTGGCCATTTTGGGGTCACAAATCACCTGAGTAGCTTGATAAAGGGAAGGTTCTGAGGCAGAGCAGTTGCTTAGATTTGACAAGAACCTGATTCAACACCCAGAAACACAGACACCAAATAATTAACAAGAAAAATAATGAAATTAGCAGATAAATACAAAACAGAGCTAGGGTGCATTTCAATTGATGATCACTTGCCTCGCATGCATGTGAGAACCTGGTGTTGGTCACCGGTAACACAGTCAATACAGATATTTTGCATCAGTCAGAAATTAGACAGCAGGCCATGAGTGCCCCGCAAATTCAGTTCATGTTTGAGAGTCAAATTAGAGTCACTCTTCTGTGCAGTGTTGGCTTTGCAGGCATTACACCCTGTGGAATCACAGTGACTATAGTGAAGTTGGTCTTGATAGAGTGCCTCGGTGATAGAACAGGATTCCTATGAAATTGCTGGTGGCCTTGCCCAGTATTAGTGGTTAGCACAGAAAGGAATGTTGGTAGATACAACCCGTCTCCCAAGACATTCCACCTCACCTTGGGAAAATAATTAATTTCAGGAAGGAGACTGAAGTAGAGAAATATAGGCTATGGGTGCAATAATTTCCTCACTCCCAAGCCCTCCACTGCACCCCTATAAAGGGTCCTAGGAAGCTCTTTCCCCTGGAAGACTCCTTAGTTTCCCCTGAGAGAGAAAAGTTACCTTACTATGTATGGTAATAACAATAATGCTGTATGTAGTAGGTTAGATTATGGTCTCTGTCTGCCCTCTGTCACTTTATGCTGCCTCATGACGCTAACAAGCTCATTGTACATTCACTATTGTCTCATTGCCTTGTAATTAAAGACATTTTTGACAGGGGCTTGACTTCGAAAGAGGGTTCACAAATTAAAGTATTTAATAAGCCACATCATTTAGTTTCTGTGGTAAAATGTTCTTCCAAAAGACATCTTTACATAATGTTTGAATCATTAATTTAACTTTATAATGTAATGAATTAAAGAACAATATAATACACAATGAACAAGAAAATGGTTATGATATTTCATAAAAGATGATTCATAGAATGACATGGGTTCAAAGAGGAAGAAAAACGAAAAAGGTATCTTTAGTATAATGTACCATTTAAGCATGTAGACCATAAAACAAAACACAAATGGGAATTTACCTGTCATGTCTCATCAGAACTGGGGATTCTAGTGCAGACCTACTTAGATTCCATCAACAGTGGGACTCTGCCTTGTTTGGAGAATGCAGTGATGATCTTGGCTAAGCATAAGAACCAAGAAGCTGTCCAGAAGGCAACTGAATGCTACACTGTGAAGATAGCCCAGAAACTCAGGCTTCCAACAGACACACTCCAGGAGCTGCTGGATGTGCATGCAGCCTGTGAGAAGGAAGCCATCGCCGTCTTCATGAAGCACTCCCTCAAGGATGACAAACGGGAGTTCCAGGAGAAACTTGTGGTAATAGACCTAAACATTTCTCCTTGCTGTTGCCTGCCCTTCTTCAATGTGAAGACCTTTGACCCTGCATTAAAAAATTAATAATTAATTTTTTCCAGTCCTATCACATTTTCCTCTCCCTCCTTTGTCTCCTCTTAGTCCCTCCCTTGACCTCTCTCTCACCACTCCTCCTCCTTTTTCTTCAGAGGTCAGTCTTCCCATGTGTAACAGCCACTCATGCTATATCAAGTGGAAACTCCTTACTAGACTAACACTACTGCTTACTAGACTAAGCACCTCCTCTCCTGCTAAGACTGAATGGGGGATGAGACAAACCAGTAGGAAGAAGGGGTGCCAAAAGCAGGTAACAGAGTTGGAGACAGCCCCTGCTCCCACTGTTAGGAGTCCCACAAGAAGATCAAGCTACACAACTGTAACATGTGTAGAGGAAAAGGTTAAGTGGCTAAGGAGTTAAAATGTGACACTTAATTTTCATCAGCAGCTGGAAACAATGCGCATCTATTGGGTCATGCTGTTGAGATACAGCACAGGGCATTGCTGTACACCAAGCTAAAGCAAGGGACAAAAGGGGCTTTCACCTAGAGCCTCTAAGAACTCCTTCAATATTCAAAATAGAAAAATGTATTCTACCTTCCCCTGTTTCTTATCCCTCTGAATTCCCTTGTCTACAGTCAGGTATAGACAACTGATTTTCGAGAACTAATATAATTAAATAAGCTCTTTGTCTTCAGATCACCCAAAGTTTATAAAACAATGAGTATCATTTATGTTAGTGCTTCTCAATCTGTAGACTGCAAACCCTTTTGGGTTGAATAATGTATTCACAGGGGGTCACATATCAGATATCCTGTATAACAGTTATTTACATTACCATTCATAAGAGTAGCAAAATCAGTTATGAAGTAGCAACCAAAAACAAATTTACGTTTCGGGCTCACAACAACCTGAGGAGTGGTACAAAAAGACTGCAGCATTAGTAAGGTTGAGAATCACTGTTTATGGCATGTTATGATAAAGACACCAAGGAAAGGAAAAGAACTCCAAGACTTCCTCTTAATTTTAATGACCAGAGACACTGCCACACACAGTTTGTCTTTCAGTCTTTATTTGAATATCTTACAAGTAACAAAAATATATTAATTCATCCTGAAGAAGAGAGTCTAATTGCAGTTTATAAGGATCCACTTTAGCATCTTCATTCTTTACCTTCATCCCTTTCACTCTCCCTGAAGGAAGGTGTGAAGCACTCACTACTCTGTTCAGAATGAACCTACTCACAACTGACAGGTGGATTTGCTATGCAGATATTTTCACCCACACCAAAGCACATTCTCCGAAGAAGCTGTGTCTCCTCCTGGTTGAACTTTGTGTTCGTTATTGGTGTGTGGAAACCTCTTCTTCTGAAGGACACAGAGTTCATGACCACCCAGCTCACTCTCATAGCTCTTGAGCTTGAGGCCAAGGAAATTAGGAAGGTCTCTGGAAGTCACTTAGAGCTGACCAAACCAGGAATAAAGCAAGTCTCACAATCTTCCTTCTGTCCAAGTCTGCTTTGGGACTATCACATTCCTTCATCCAGAAATATCACAGTGGTATTTTTCTTCTAAAAGGTTCTTTGTTTTTTCTTTTCTACTTTACTGGCAGGCCACCATAGAAGAATATAAGGAAAATTTCATGCAACAGAATGAAGCAGCATCTCGCAGTTATTGCCTGGCTACACTGGAGAAGCTTGCAGAGCCCCTGAGGGAGAGCATCTCACGTAGAGATTTCTCTGTTCCTGATGGGCACAGACTCTACTTAGAGGCCAGAAAGAAAGTTGAACAGGACTATGAGCAAGTGTCCAGGAAGGGAGTGAAGGTGAGGAATGAGGGCAGGTATGATCACACAGCATGAGTACCACAAGAGCAGTAGCTGCTGCTCCTGGAATCTAAGAACATTCTCTGGAAAGAAATCAGAATAACTTTTATCTTGGCCATTATAGTCTTTACAGCCACAAAATACTGCATGAATTAATAAATATTCATTTTCTCAGAAGAGATTTATAACATAAATCCAAATGAAAAAGAAAATTAATTATGAATGATTGAGAAGCAGCCTCCAGCCAGTACCCAGGATATAAAAAAGCATCCACAAATCTGGTAAGGACTCAGGAAAAATTCTTACCTATCTGAGGGCTAGACTTCTTCTATCTGAGGAGAAAAAAATAAGGAAACACATACGCTTTCTGATGGTAGGTTTCTCTTTTATTTCATCTTAAAAAATGCTCCCTGAGAATCTCTCTGTCTTTACACAGCTATTCTTTACATATGGGTATATATCTCTCTTTACATATATACATCTGCTTCTTCTTCATCTCTCACTCAGCACACACATGCACACACAACACACACACACACACTTCACTCACGTTCTGCACAGCTTTTTCCAGCTATTCTCTATATAGCTCAACATGACTTCCTTTGTACACTGCCAATGCTCCTCTCACAGCCAAACTCTGGACAAGCATATTTTACATTTTCAGGGCCTGACCTATTCTCATAACACAAGATATGTCACAGTTTTTCTTAGGCTAGGGATGTCACATTGACTGGCCAGTGAGTAACACTTGGTCATGCACATAACCTAAAAAATTAGGGCTCCCAGACAGAAAAAGACATTGAAGTTCAAGACTTAATATCAGTAAGCTAAAGGAACCTTGAGTGTAGGGAATATGTGCATAAAAAGTGCATTACTTCGTGAGGTTTATGTCTACCAAAGTTACTTGGTTTCTGACCTTGTTTCAGTAATAAGCAACACCTGGGAGTTTGTCCTTGCGTATTTCTCTCCAGGGGCAACCACTTTATTGTGAGTATGTTCTGAAGTCCAAAATTAGATGTCTTTGTGACTGAGGAAACTATTACTTTTCTATGTCAGTCTGAATAATGAAAAATATCCTAGTATTATTTCTACTCATCAAAATTATACAGATTAAGCAGAAATCATCTTCTGTCTGTTCACAGTTATATGTATGCCCAAAAGATAGAATATTTACTTGAGACAAACAGACAAGCAATGAGCAAAATGCCCATAGCAGTTCTTGGGGAAGAAATAAAGTGGCACACAAGAGAAATAAAGACAGGAGTAGCTGGTCATTTACAGTCAGTAACCTCATGGCCTTTCAGGTAGGGCTCCCCACCGGAGAGCCGTTCGTCTGGTAAGTCAACCTGTGAACACTAAATGTCATCTGCTGTACACCCCTTACAGTCTTCTATAATTAACTCATTTTATAATGTGATATTTGTTTCTTGGTTTTGAGTTTTTAATTACCTTTTATTTAAAACTGTTCTGAATGATAAATGTCTTCCTTTATGATAAACAAACACAGAAATGGTAACCTACTATAAAACAAAATGCACTTCTGATAGTCATTATTTTTCTGCTTTGGACAGCTTATTGTTTTTCTTTTGTCACAAAAAAATGGAAATGTACCTATAGAAAGGCTCAATATAAGCTATCTTTAGAAACAAAAAGGCATTGATTCACAAAAGTCTATGAATAGAACATGTAACGAGCCCATAAAAATATAATAGATTTGTTAAAAATATTCACAACTAATAGAACATCTGAAGTGTTCTTGTACGAAATATCACATGAGGAAAAGGAGTCATCAATGTCTAAAAAAGTGGGTTTGTTCATAGTCAATCTGATAAGTTACAATTAGAAGTGACTGCTGAGATGTAAGAAACTTCGACATTATTCTTCTACAACCCCTTTAGTTCAAGTCTTTCACTCAATAACAGAGCTGAGGATCTGAAACAAAGTATATTTGAGTACAAAGCACTTGAGAAGCGATACTTCTTTTCTTTTTGTTCTTCCTTTCCCTTCTTTGTTTCGGTTTGTGTCATCAGGTTTGTGTCATCATCAGAGGGTTTTCCTGAACTTACAAACAACTTGCCTGCTCAGCAGTGAACAGGAATTTCTAAGTGCAGGAGCTTTTACTTCTTCAGACCTGTGTGTGTGGATATCTGCATAGGCAACTAATGTATTCTCATCTTTTCAGAATTTAATCTTCCTTTTAGCAAAAGGGGATACCAACTACTGTATGCCAAAGAGATTATTAGTCTTGGTGTGAATTCCCTTTCAATTTTTTAAAAGTTTTGATATTCTGAGCTTTTAATATAATATTCTAGAGTAGGTTACTCAGGACATGCTGTGGCCAAGGGACTGTTAAATAGAAAGCTCAATTTATTCTTTGTGACTTGATGCATAGATGAAATATTTAACATGCAATAACAAAAACTGATCATTTATAAATTACATCCTAGTCTTTTCACACTTTTGGATGCAGACACCATCTTCAGTTTTCTAGCGTTAACCCTGCAACATCCATGATGTCCAGGATCAGTTTAAAAGATCATCAAATTCCTTTTGTTAGTTCTTCCATTTTCTACTGTCTCTTGCTCCAAGTTTATCTGAATAATTACTTTCTAGTATTCTTTGCTATTGCTCTTTAGGACATTCTTGATTGTCTCTGTGTTTTATGGGCTAGTTGGGAGAGGGCTTGAGAAGGGTGTAATACTGTGAGAAGGTTGTGAGTCACCGGGATGCCTCTAGGAATGATCCCTTCCATGGCTGCAGGAAGCCCTCCTGAACTAAACCTGGTATGTCTGGTAATACCTACATGTGACACCTTGGAGTTTGGGATGAGTTGCTTGCTGATTAATGACTGACCAAGGAGCTGAAGTAATGAAGATTTATTTATTGACACAGTAAGCTTTCTGGGATGCAACCTGCACTGTTCAGTGGATCTCAGTGGCAGCTGTCTCCCTCATTTCTAGTGATGCTTGTTCACTATACCAGGCCTTGTGTGGTGTGATGATACTTGGTGCATTTACCATGGACCCTAAGAGAAGCTAGAGGGCTCACTCATACACACTGAGGGATGCTTCTCATACCCTTCCCTCTTTGACAGCCTGAGGTAAGGCTTTCTCATCTACCAGGCCACTTGAGCTGCATTCACGAGGAGTGAGCCTTGCCTCATCTGCTGATAGTGAAGTCATTGGTGACGTGTTGGTTATGCTAGTCCAGACACCTTACAGGGAGGTGTAGTTTCTCTGATAGAGCAAGTCCTGTAGGGTGTAGACCTTTGACACTCACAGAAATCACCTTATCACATCTTGTAAGTAGTGATCAAAAAATAAGATTCTGAATCCAAAGCCTTGGTTTTAACACCAAACACCTTCCCTAAGCAACTAAAGCCAAAGAGGGCCAGGGTCTCCCCCTGGATCCTCGCCACTCCTGAGGCAACCGGGAATCTGCTTTATGCTCTATGGCCATGTGCCCTCTCCTAAAGTGTAGTACAGACACATGTTAAACTGATAAGGATTGGTGATGTGGCTAACAGCAAAATCACTGTCTTTCCCACTGTGACAGATGGATGTTGCACATGTGACCCCAAGTTCAACAGCAGCCTTGATGTCCCTGTCATAGCCAATGCCAATTTTCATTATCACTCTCAGAGCCTCGAAATTCTCCAGATCTTCTCTTGTGAGGGTGATAGCGGGATATATTATGGCATCCATGAGGGCCTCATTCAACACCTTCTCATGAATTTCCTGAGTGGACTGTGAATTGTATAAGCCTACAATGGCCAAGTTCTTCAGGATGGGCATTTTCACAGTGCAGTCTTTGCTGGTGCCCCAGTACTACCAAGGAGCTGAAGTACAAGGGGTCATTCATGATCTGGGGGCAAATACCTTCACAAATTCTGTCCAGTCTCTGTTGCTTGCATTTATACTCATCCATAAGAGCCATTTTTTTTATTTTTTGCAGAGGTTTAATTTCATGAGTCTTTTTTTAAAAAAATATTTATTTATTTATTATGTATACAATATTCTGTCTGTGTGTATGCTTGCAGTCCAGAAGAGGGCACTAGACCTCATTACAGATGGTTTGTGAGCCACCATGTGGTTGCTGGGAATTGAACTCAGGACATTTGGAAGAGCAGACAATGCTCTTAACTGCTAAGCCAACTCTATAGCCCCTCACAAGAGTCATTCTTTATGTAACTTTGCAACTCTCTGATTAAAAAAGCAAATCAGTCCACTAAGAACTTAGAAGAAATCTCAAGAAGGTATACATTTTGTGCCACTTTGAACTCAATGTGAATGTGTTCACAAACTCTACAGTTAATGGAATGGGTTGGCTGTCTTTACCAGTTAACAAACATTTACTGTGATGAAACGCTCATCCTCAGCAGCTAGAGTCCATGAAGAAGGGATCCCAGCCAGCAGGCAGCAGCAGTAGATCCAGCTCCCACTTCTCCCATCATTCTCTGCGGCAGCTAGATATGCTGATATGCTTCACCTCAGGGTAACGAGGCTCCCAACTTGGTCTCTCAATAATGTGATTTTTTTTTTGTTCAGAGTATAGATGTTATTACAGAAAGAACTTTTATTCTCAAGAAGTTTATGGTTTTAGCTGACATGGACAAATAGAATTTGTTTGATAAGTTGGGAATACCTATCATATTTAAATGACCTTAACGAACCTAGACGTATCAGTAGAGATGAAGATTATAATAACATATTGAGTATTTGTTTTCTAAATTGAGTTAGTGTTATTTTTCTCATTGAAATATCAGTTTAATACTCAGGCCAGAAGGATTTAGGTTTAAACAGTATCTCCATTGTACTGTTGAGGGGTATGCTAAACAGAGAAACTCCCACAGACTTGCAAAGAAGCAGAACAACTTCATTCAGAGTGAAGATCATACAGATAAAAGAGGAGTCATAAAAGTGAGGATATACAAATGACCCAAGTTCCACTCTTTGGTGTACACAGTACACAAAGGGCCACTTTGAATGGATTGAAAAGAAGGCAGAAGCAGTTACTATGGTCATAGTTTGAGTTGTTCTCTATATTGGAGGATATGTTGGGCCATACATTCAATTTCCCCATGCACATACCTTTTCTCTCAAACAGTGCATTTGATTTTAATCATGTGAGTGCTCAGTTGTGCATAGGCATGAAATGCTAAGTATAAATATTCTTTGTAAAATTTTACTTGAAGGACAAAATTTGCTTATTGCACTGTGCATGCACTTAAAGCAACTTGAGACCAGATCTATTCTATAGGATGTATATTTGAATAAAACCTGTCTTGACTCGATTTAGGGATGGATATACTTATGCTTTTGCTCACAGAGGAATGTATATGTAGCCAGTGCAGGGTTGTAACAGGAGTGTCGGTGTTAGGAGTGTTGTGTGGAGAGGGGTTATGTGTGCATAGTACCCACAGGTAACGGAACCAGGCTGGCAAGTGCATCATTACAAGAAGGGGAGGGATGTATAGCCTAAATCAAATAAGGCCACAGACTATTTTTTCCCTAAGCCTGCCTGCCTTATATGTGTTTGTGGAAGTGCACACAAATCTGGCTGGGGTTATTAGCTGGAGTGGCTAGTGGGTGACATTCCTGGGAAACAATGCTGGAGAGCTAGCAGGGGGCTGTTACAGAGGGCTTTTTAATCTCAGCAAAGATTATAGACTTTTTACAACCACAGAATTAAAGGACTCGTGGGAGCTAAAGCAGGATTCAAATATTGCAGTCAGGTTAGTAATCTCATTGAATGATAACTCTTTTATCATAAGAAAATATCTTGCCACTTAACATTTTCTCTCTTTTGGTACCCAGGCAAATGAGGTGTTACAGGACTTTCTGAAGTCACAGATAACTATAGAAGATTCCATCTTGCAGTCAGATAAAGCCCTCACTGATGGGCAGAAAGCCATGGCAGGTACTGAGAGTTCCTGTAAGGCCCTCTGATTTATAATCAGAAACGTACCCCCCCCACACACACAAACAAGGATATCTCTCCTGTATCTTCTTCTCTATCTGAAGCCATAATTGGGACTGGTGCTGCATGGCTAGCCTGTCAGTACATTTCCATCATGTATGAAATCAGTGCCTACCGATGGGAAGATGCAGAGAGTTTCTATGGGGAAATAAGCTTGGTGTATGAGATCAGGAGGGGAGCTCTCCATTCTGATTATCCTTACTTCCTTCTGCAAAACCCTTGTGTGACAGCTGAGCAGGCCAAGAAGGAGGTGGATGAGAAGGAAGTGGAGCTAAGGAGGCAGCAACAGAAGGAGCAAAAGCAAGTGAAGGAGGCTCAGAAGATAACCTTGTCAGAAAACATGGCCCAGCTGGAGAAGAAGTTGGAGAGGGAAAAGGAGAACCTTCTGAGAGAGAAGACTCACGAACTGAAGGTGAGGATAGATGGGGATGGAAGTACCTGGAAGATGATGACCCCATAGGAAGGAGAAGTGTGACACTGTTAAGAAAATCATGATCCCACAGAGAACCCCAAAGACATGTGACCATGAAAAACTCAAATCCACTTAGATCCTGGTGAAGCTCTTAAATCTAAAAATGCATCGCTTTTTGTAGCACTAGAAATCTAAAGAATGATAAAAAAAATACACAGGGGATTCTCTTGTATGTTTTAGAAGAGTTTCATTTTACTCCAAATGACAATACCTCAACGCACCACCACTCCTAAGAACTGTCCAGGATACCCGTTTGAAATTATCAGATTAGTCAGCATAAGAACCCGAAGTTCTGAACCCGGCAGTGTCTGTTTCCAGATCTGGTTGGTATATTCTACAGAACTAGAGTAAAGTGCAGTCTTTCTCCCCACCCAGAGCTTGACAGCTCTGCTTTCAGGACAACAGATAGTTACCATCATGTGTTACACAGATGGGGTCAGCTCAGCTCAATGATACTGAGACTGAATGAGAGGTAAAGTCACAGACCTCCAAAATGGAACTGTGCTTTACCCCATGGTTCTCAGGGCTGTCCTAGCACCAAATCCCATTAATCCCAGAAAGAGAACTGTAAACATTTATCACCTATAGTTACTCTCACTCTTCAGCTCAAAAGTGTGAGGTTCTGGAAAAACTGGTCAAATACTGATTTTTGTAAACAGAGGAAACATGTATAATAAGCTTACCTGCTGATGTTATTAATTATGAAATACTACTAATTTGTATTCTTAAAAGTTGATTCTCTTTTTGGTAGGCACTAAAAGAACTACTTCCTGAAGGAGTTGGGAAGCAATATGATGACTTAAGAAGGGAAGCAGAGAAAAGAAAAAAAGAGATTGAAACCATTTCTAAGATTGTTGAATGGGGTGTTTCTGTACTGCATGACACACTGGTGAACGTACTCAGCTCAACTGTTAGAAGGTTTATAAGGCATTTGTAGCATACATAGTGACTCACAATTTTAGTGTGTATGTCAACAGATTCATTCAAGGGCAGTTTTAATTTAAGGGTTATCAAAGAATGTCAGATACTGAAAGCTAAGGAAGCCTATCAAAGTAATCTCTTCATAAAAAGCTAACTATACAGTGACAGATGTTCATATGCCTCATTATGATGATTATTTTACAATACATATATACATCAGTTATGGAACTGTAAACCTTACATGTATACAATAAAAGCAAATGCCCAGCATACTGTGTGGTCGTCTCATGAGAACCACTACCGTCTGATACCAAGGTCGAGCACCTGACAGCAGCTTACTGGTGACATCTCTGAACAGTGGACAACTCATTTGCCCAAACACTCACCCAGAGAGAAGTTGCAGTTTGGTTTACTCACATCCTCATTGATATTTCAGAGAGGTAGATGTACTTACAATTGGAATCTCTGCACAGAATAGTTCAGAAAATCATCAAAATAAAAATATTCCATTTACAAACTGGAGCGCGTGTGTGTGTGTGTGAGAGAGAGAGAGACAGAGACAGAGAAAGAGAGAGAGAAGAATTTTACTTGTCTAATGTGTTGGTGTGTTTTGTTAATTTTATAAAACTATAGACATATTTTGGAAATGGAATCTTCCTTGAGAAAATGACTCACTAAGATTGGCCTGTGGGCTAATCTGTGAGGTTATTGTATTGGCTGACTGATGAATGATGTGGATGGGCCCAGCCCATTGTGAGTGATGCCACCCCTGGGCAGATGGTCCTGAATGGTAAACTGAGCAAGCCATGATAAAGTTAGACTGTAAGCAGCACTCCTCCATAGCCTCTGCATCAGCTCCTGCCTCGAGGTTCCAGCCTTGCGTTCCTGCCCTGACTTCATTAATGGAGTGGGACCTAAGAGTTGTAGCATGATATAATCCCTTTTCCTTCCCCACAGCAATAGAAGTACTAACACAGATGCCTCCTTTTCTCTGCCCTGGAACTTCCATGCTACCTTATGGATCCTCTTCAGAACAGTTTGGACTCTAGAGTTTATGTTCTCAGTTCTTCACACATGTTTTAATCACTCCACTGGCTTTCTTGGTTTCTTGGGTTTAAAATGGCCTATCTTCTCCACCACTTGCATGGTTCATTTGAGACCTTTGCTGTTCATTAGATGTGAGCAGTTCTGTGCTCTCTCATTCATCTTCTGACATTCTATCCTACATTCTCCTTCTCTCACTCAGTCCTTCCTTTTCCCTAACTAGTAACTACACTTCCCTCACAATTGCAGTAATGAGTGTCCCAGGAATCAGGCCCTTTCACATGCTTATAGGTGTCATGACATCAAATATCAATGCCCAGACCTCATCCTATCAATGGTTTCGTATTTAGTATAGTGTTAGTGTAGTATATCATGAAACATTCTTCTCAACATGGAGTAAGTGTAGCGTATGCTAGTTCTCCTTGGATGCTCCTTATGAAATAAGCAATGGAATTTCATTTTTCAAAGCAAGTTCCTGTTTTGATCTAACAAGAAAAAAGCAGATTTTCCAGAAGTGAGTCCACTCTTTTTACCTGAGTAATTCTTCTTTACTTTCACTTTCTGGATGCAGGAGCAACAGATGAAGGGCTTTACATTTCCAGCAACCTTTAGTTGACCTGCAGGGATTTCCAGCCCTTATTATCTAAAGCCACCCCCCTCCTTTTTCTTATCTATAATGGCAGATATTAAAAAAATGCACAAACCCCTTTCTCTCTTCAGCTTGCATTAGTGTTTGTATATTTAATGTAGAGGCCCGAAACAGTTCTATTTTGTCCAGGTTGGCTCAGAAAAGCCGAAAGTTGGAAACCAAAAAGGGATTTTTTTTTTTAAGCTGGAAAACTTTTGTACACGCACATTTTAAACACAATGCCTGGAAGTAGCAGGAACCACCCACCCTGAGACCTATAACAATACCCTCCTTTCTCTGCTACTTCCTCGAGCTTTGTGCAAGGACATTTATCTTTTACACCACTGAAATCATGACTAACCCTTATTTTTTTATACCACTGAAAAATGCTGAATGGACATGTGGTTTTGGATAGGTGAAAGGTCCTGTCATGTATCTTTCTAAGCAGCTTCATATAGCAGTTAGGTGACAGCAACTTTGTATTCGTGTCCTAGAAACAGCTTCCTCATTGTCACAGGAGGCCTCTAAACTCACTTTTGACCTCTTTCTGTGTGTCCTCCTAACGCATCAATTCAAAGATCCCTTTTCACACAAAGGCCTCTATTTTTCCCCCTTTAAGCTTCAATTTTTCCACATCGCCTGCTTACGAAATCCTGGTATCTCACCTGATTCTTGCCCTCCTCTCAATCCTGTTTCACTCCTCCCCAAGGTCACTACCCTCACTCATTCCTGCCTAAAATCCCTTGCCTACAAAACTCTACAATTTACTATTGGACCTCTGCTGTAGGAGGAGGCTGCTTGTTTGTCCCAGTTGCCCTGAACAGAAATAACCACACAGAAACTATATTAATTTAAACACTGCTTGGCCCATTAGCTCTAGCTTCTTACTGGCTAACTCTTAATTAATTTAACACATTTCTATTAATCTGTGTATCACCACATGGCAGTGGCTTACAGGGAAAAATTGAGCATGTCTGACTCTGTCTAAACAACAGAATGTTTTTTTCTTATTCCAGTCCCTCCTACCTAACTTCTCTAATCCTCATGCCCCTACACTGGAATAAGAAAAAAGTCACAGGCATAGGATAGTGTCAGGAAGGCCACTCAGTGTCTCATACGTACAAAGTTCTCAGTTCTGAGTTCAGCCGTGTTTAACTTTTCATACTTTTATTCCCAATACCAAAGGGGAGAAGAAGACAAAAGACTGGTTTAACATGATACAAAGAACAACTAAAACAGATTTTGCTTCAATGCTTTGAGTGCTTAACTCATGTGAAAAGCATTCTGTTGTTTAGACAGTGAAGCTACCCTAGATTAAGTATCCTGAAGGAAGCCACTCCCTAGGTCGAACCTCCTAATTCAAAAGGAGCAGAAGTGTGCTTAAATTATCTGATGTTTGGTCTCCTGGTGGAGAGGATACACCTCTATAGGCTGTCTTAACCTCCAAAACACCAAGTAACTCCACCCTAGGTCAGGGTTTGTAGTCACAGTTGTTGTCAACAACTTTGAACAAGCTAAAACTCTCTGAAAAGGTGGAATAGGTTCACATTTTTGGGCCTCCACAAGGCCCTTGACCACATGGGATGGGTCCACATTTGGTAATCCTTAACATACCAAGAGCAGCTGAGTTTCAAAGAGTTGAGATATGGATCTATCTATGAAAATTCAAATAAACTCTTGACCCCTCGCCTGATAAGTGCTCCTTTGGGTTGATGTGACTACTAATGTTTATGGTCTCCTGACCTCTGCCTATCTCTGAGTATGAGATCTTTTCTCATTCTTACCTATATTTTTGATAATCATGACTGCTCCAGTCTTTTCAGGTTTTTCCAAGAGACAGTTAATACAACAGACTCTTCTGGTAGAATTTCCTCAAGTCTCCTACCATTACATGCAGGCTTGAACCCCTACTTTGGACAAGGATTAGAGACCCCTCATCCACCTATCCGCTGTGATGTCCTCTCAGAGCTGAGGGTAGACAGAGGCCTATCATCACCCTTATCAATGGATGGCTGGAATGGTAGGTCACAAAGCAGGCTCCAAAACTGTAGTGCCACTCACTTACAGCTTTCTCAGAGGACACCTAGACCCAAAACAGGTTAGGGTCTTACAGGCGAAGAGAAGGACTGTACAATGAGGTAAAGAGAAATCTAAAGTAGGCTTTCCTCAGTATTTTCTAGGGCAGCAGTTCTTTTTTTTTATTTCTTTTTTTTTTATTATTATTTTTTTATTGAGAAAAGGAGAAAAAAAAACAAACAAGTTTCCACCTCCTCCCAGCCTCCCATTTCCCTCCCCCTCCTCCCACCCTTCTCCCCCTCCTCCCACCTTTCTCCCCCTCCCCCCACTCCTCTCCCCATCCCTCTCCAGTCCAAAGAGCAGTCAGGGTTCCCTGCCCTGTGGTAAGTCTTAGGTCCTCCCCTCTCCGTCCATTTCTGGGAAGGTGAACATCCAAACTGGCTAGGCTCCCACAAAGCCAGCACATTATGTAGGTTCAAAACCCCGTGCCATTGTCCTTGGCTTCTCATCAGCCCTCATTGTTCTCCATGTTCAGAGAGTCCAATTTTATCCCATGCTTTTTCAGTCACAGTCCAGCTGGCCTTGGTGAGCTCCCAATAGATCAGCTCCACTGTCTCAGTGGGTGGGTGCACCCCTCGTGGTCCCGACTTCTTTGCTCATGTTCTCCCTCCTTCTGCTCCTCATTGGGACCTTGGGAGCTCAGTCCAGTGCTCCAGTGTGGGTCTCTGTCTCTATCTCCATCCATCACCAGATGAAGGTTCTATGATGATATGCAAGATATTCGTCAGTATTGCTATAGGATAGGGTCATTTCATGTTCCCTATCCTCAGCTGCCCAAGGAACTGACTGGGGACCTTGGCTTGGGCATCTGGGAGCCACTCTAGGTTCAAGTCTCTTGCCAACTCTAAGGTGGCTCCCTTAACTAAGAATTGTGCTTCTATCCTGAGTGAGGTAACCCAGACCCAAAAAGATGAATATGGGATGTACTCACTCATAATTGGTTTCTAGCCATAAACAAGGGTCACGGAGTCTACAATTGGTGATCCCAAAGAAGCTAAGTAAGAAGGTGAACCAAAGGAAAAACATATAGTTGTCCTCTTGGCTATGGGAAGTAGACAAAATTGCCGGAGAGAAAATTGGGATCTTGGGGGTGGGGTGGGATGGTGGTAAGGGGAGATGGGGAGAGTAAAGGGAGAAGGGGAGAATGGGGGGAACTTGGGGAAAAAGGAGGACTGGGATAAAGGAAGGTTGGATAGGGGAGTAGGGCAGCAGTTCTTAACCTTCCTAATGCTGCAACTCCTGTTCCACATGTTGTGGTGACCCCCAAA